TATTTATTAAATGTATAATAATTTTTAATTAATATCTATTAACTCAACTTACACTAATCCTTAGGTTTATTATTTTACACTAAAGTAAGTAGTAGTTTACAACCAGTCTTAACTGGGCAAGATACAATGACTATTACATGGAAAGAAACTGAGAAGATGTTTATATACACTTTAGTTGGAAATTTTTTTCTTATTAATACAAATATTTAAATGTCTACCTATTTTGGCAGTATAAGATAGAAATTGTTGGGAAAATCTGTTCCGGAAAACAACGTATTCAAATTTTGTAAATAAACTAGTATAATAAAAAAAGATAAATGGTTTCTTAATCTTCTTAAACTCATTTAGCTAAGGATATATTCTCTTAATTAGCACCTTTGAAAATAGCCTAATGTGTGAGTCATTTAAATTTTTAGCCCTTATTGTTTAAGTAAAAATACCAGTTTGACTTTTCAAATATTTCACATATTAGTCTTTATTTAAGGTAAGAATTTCTGGAACTGAAGCTTTGTTTTATATAACATACAACATTTGGAAGATGTGTAATGAAATAATAGCTCTGCAAAAAATTACCTTCAACATTTCTGTACAATCCTATCCAAAAATTTGTTTTACTTTTAAGTGGCTCAACATGATACGACAGAAAACTAGATTCAGCAGCACTTTCAATGGAAACCAAGGTGGAACCTGCAAAGTATAAAAGGATAATTTTGATGGAAGCACATTTAATTAGTAAAAAATGTTTGATAATTGTAGTATTGATGTTAGGAGTAATAAAAGCCAGCAAATTTCTACTTAAAAGGGATAATTTCAACGAATGTACATTTGCCTTCTCAGAATTTCCACTTCTATTCTGAAAATGTGTAGGGTTTTAATCACCATTTGCATTAGCTCATAGGATACTGAACTAATTGTGGGGGAATATATAAGAAAGACATATCTTAGCAATTGCATGGTTCAACCAGGAATGCACATACTCCTTAGAATCACCAATAATCAATAAGGTCAAAAGGGCAGTGTTTTCCCAACAATAAATATGTGAAAGCAGGAAGGGGTAGACTAGAAGGATTAATAGACATGAGAATTAGAGAGAGGAAGTGGAAAAAGTGAACCTCCATTGGGGGTATTGTAATTATTGTTATAAAACAAAATGTGTATGAATGGCTCAATAAAATACCAATCTGTTTTGCAAATTTCACTCAAATCACCATAAAAATAAAATACAAAAAGTAGTGTATGATTCAGTGGCTAATAATGAGTAAAAATAAAATAGTGAGTTAAAAGTACTCAAGAAGGGAATTATGCTATGGAGGCGTTAAAGAGAGAGGAGATTTATTTCAGGTAGAGCAGCTATAAAAAAAGCATGGAGATACTAGAATGCAAGATATTAAGTAGCAGAAAAGATGAAAAAAAGTAATTTCAGGAAGAGGAAGTAATAAATAGACTGAAAAAAAGGAAGGAAGCACAGAGTTTCTAGACGTACAGGAATGGCTCTGTGTAACAGGCGTGGACAGTGATCTGGTCAGTGAGTAAAAAATAACACAGTTCGGACATCACTGAAGAGGGCAGGGGATTAATATCTAGGGTTTTGTGGCAACAAAATATAGTGTTTTCACAAAATAGAACAATAAAATATTATTTCAGGGGGGTGGGTGGGGAGAAAAGTGCAACAATGAATGAATGGAATTCCAAAATCTCCGTAGATGTTCATTGAAATAAAAATTTTCAAAAAATTAAAAATTAAAAAAAATATTATTTCAGAGTATTAATTGGTTTAAAGTAAGAAAATAGAGAAACTAAAAAATGGTTAGAAGATGATATCTGTTCAAAGAAATAGGAAAAGGGAAAATGGTATACTAGATAATATCTATTTTTTTTTAAAAAAAAAAAAGTTGGTATTGACAAAAAGCAGTAAAGGGACCAAAAAAGAAAGACAAGAAACCATACACACCCAAAAAAAGACAAAACCTGGGTATGACATATAGAAAACAAATGGCAAAACACCAGATGTAAACCCTACTTTTTCTGTAATTACATTAAATGCATATGGATTATGTAAACAGTAGAGGCAAAAGGGACAGAAATTATAAAAACTTCTTAATTATAGCCACACTCTTCAGGGGGAAATTATTCAACTGTGTTGTGTCTATTTGAGTTTTATTTTTTCTTTACACATCTGATAGGAATACTTTCTAAATTAATACTTTCTTATTAATTTTATTTTCTAATGGTAAAACAAAATGGTCTCTGGGCACATTAACACAGAGCTTCTCAATGAGCAGAAGTGAGCACAATATTTTGAATAATACAGTAAGAATTTATAGCATCAGGGCAAAAAGGAAATAGAGTACTTCAATGAATTACTGTTTTCTACCTGAATTCTCTGAAATTTTGAGGCTATAGTGCTGGAAAGTATTGTATTAATGCACACACTACTTATTGGGAGGTCTGTTTAATATCTTATGACCTCATCATCTATTGGTCATAACAAATTATAATCATGTACTATGGGCATTATGCTAGGTTATTCCTTAGACAGGGCATTATGCTTTGGAAGGTGGAGAGACAGTGAAGGAGAGGAAGACCCTCAACCAGGAGTCTTAGCACAATGACTGTGGCAATGACCTTGAGTGTGTCAGAGATTATAAGGATGGCACAAGATAGGACAGAGTTCCAGTCTGTGGTTTATAAGGTCAATATGAGTTGTACTCAACTCAACTCAATAGCACCTAACGACAACATATCATCATCAATACTCATTGCCATCAAGTTGGAACAAACTTATAGCTGACCCTTCAGGAAGCATGAACTTCCAGTGAAGAGCCACATCTGGTTTATAGCAACACAACTCTCTACCCACTAGGCCACCAGAGCTCTTTCTAGTAAAAATTAATAAGGTATTAATAAGAGATTTCTTTATACAGGACTTACGTGTTTATTGTGTGGTGTTACTAGTATCCTAACTTAATATATATGATGTTTTCTTACAACAGAGGTAATACTTACTCATTCGAAGGCATTCCAGAGAAGCTTGGCCCCAGTTCCTTGTATATGAGGACTCTATGTAATAGCAGTGCCCGTGGAAGGGAATCCACGCTGTGTGGTCTGACTCTGGGCATCTGCCAGGCAGCTGTGGAGGCTCAGTGGCAGGAGTGTCTGTTAATAAAACATCATTTTAAATGAAGTCAAACCTAAAATTGCTATTGTTAGACAAAATATCTTAGAAGGACAAGGTCATTTTATTACCTATCACTACAAAAGAAAAACTTCTAATTGTTATCTAGAACATAATTGCCAATATTATTCTTGGGTTTATTTTATGTATGTTTTTCATTTAAACATGTTCAGTAAAAAGTACCATGGTATAGTGGTAATAAATCATTCTCATACTAAGAAAGTAAATTTGTAGGTTCCTCTAAAGAGTTGAAAATTTTTTTAAAAGTCACCTAAAATATGAGTTTAAAAGAGATTTCCTAAAAAAAAAAGAGAGAGAGATTTCCTTTCCATGTAAGATGTTCTTCTTTTTGATACCCTAGTCCCTATAAGCCCTTTTTAGCAACTAAAGACATCAGTGATATAAATAATATTATTATAATTATAGGTCTTATGATTCTAATTGATTTTTATGCATTCTGATAATTTTTTTAACATACAGATGCTTTATAGAAGTTTAAAATAAGCATAAAACCTAGGGAAATTGATTCAGGCTGCAATTTCAATACTAAACATCCAGAAATTCCTAAAAATGAAATAAACTTTACCAATGGAATATTTTTGTATCTCCATTATTCATTCACTGTTGGAACCGAGTCATCTCTGACTCTCCATTGGGTTTCCCAGGCTACAAATTGTACAACAGGAGATTGTCCACATTTCTCTTGAGGAGCCACTGGTGGATTTGAGCTACCAGAGAAGTGCAGCCTTGAGCTAGCAGTGCAATTCCCTATGGACTGTGCCACCATTGGAACTATGCACATGGGTTTTAATGCCACAACAGTCTTTTTTAGGTGAAGGAATACCTTTTCTACCTTTGATACCTGAGGCATCTAACTGTTTAGTAATACCATATATGATATGTAGTGGTGCACTCAGAAGATTTCAAAACCCTTTCCTTTGGATTCTATTACCATCTGATCTTTTACACAGAGCGTGGAAGGTTTCATTGCAATATGTGGTCTTCCAGAAGCCATCCGTGTCCAGATAAACACAGGCTGATTTCAGTTTGGGTTCATCAGCAGCCCAATTGGTATATCTCATTCTCCATTTATCAATCCAGACATATTCATTATTGGTCTGCAGAGTAAAAACAGCCATTAACATGGAGCCTTTGATTAAGGAGAAAAATACTAAAAGAACCAAGCAAGGAGAGAGATTGTGTTTTGACACAAAATCTTGAATTTATATTATCATTGAAATGAAGTATAAAATTATGTTCATTTCAATTAATTTGAAGAACCCTGATATAAATAAGAATCTAATCTGAAACAACATCAGTGACAAAAGATTTCATTAAAGTCACTTAGATAATAAAGGAGTCTAGATTCCATGCCTCCCAGACAGGTAGTCTTTTAACTATATCAATCATGATATCAGTAAATAAAATAAAATCAATTGCTTTATTCTATTTTCTCCACTTACTTTTAATTTAGTTTATTTTAACAGATTTATGATCGTATACAACCTGCTAGCATCAAACATACCATTATCTCATAATATTTTTAACAATTTAAATATTACAGGCAAAACCTTAGAATGATGATGTATACTATTAATCAGAAATATTTAAAAAAAAATAAAGCAAGCGCTCCATTTTTTAACCATATAATTTACCAAAACAATTACAAAAGATTTAATGACAAAATAAAAATATATTATTAACTGGAGTTAGAATTTTATAGTGTTCCAAAAGGTATATACAACTTGAGTAATCAGTAACTATATAAGCATAAAGAAGATACATAATAGTATGGTTTTAGTTATAAATATTGGCACAATGAAAATCTGTTTACTCTTTTTAAAAATAAATTAGTTTATTTTAATCTTCATCAGAGAAATATGGCTGTATCTATGCCTCTGGAAACTACAAACGTTGATAAATGATGATAGTTATAAAAAGACTTCAGGCCTTTTGTTCATAAAGTCGCTATGAGGCATGCTCGACTCAATGGCAACCAACAACAACATAAGAAATTGTTGTTGTTATGTACTGTCAAGTCACCTGTGACTCACAGCAACCCTATGTAAACAGCCCCAAACCCTGCTCTATCCTGTACCAATCTTATTGTCTCTGATACACCTATCCCCACTACCCCAGTCACTGAATCAATTCAACACATCGAAGGTCTTTCTCTCTTTACCAAGTGAATAAATTACTGAAATCAGTTTGTATATTGTTGTTATGTGCCATTGAGTTGACTATGACTCATAGTGACCCTATGAACAACAGCTCTGAACCCTGCTCTATATTAAGCCAATCTCATAGTCTCTTATATAGTGCCCCCATTCCCATAGTCACTATCAATCCATCTCATCCAGGGTCTTCATATTTTGAGCTGACCCTCCACCCTTCTAAGCATGATATCCTTTTCCAAGAACTAGTCCCTCTTGAAAACATGTCCAAAATATGTGAGATGGAGTTTTACAATCCTTACCTACAAGGAGTAACCTGGTTTCACCTTCTTCAGGACAGATCTGTTGGTTCTCTTGACAGTCCATGGTACGTTCAATACTCTTCTCCAGCACCACAATTCAAAGGCATCAATTCTTCTTTTGTCATCCTTATTCTTTGTCCAGCTCTCAGGTACATAGCAAGTAATTGAAAAGATCATGGTTTGGATCAAGTGCACCTTAGTCTCTAAACTGACATCATCTCTCCTTAGCACTCTGGAGAGTTCCTTGACAGCAGAATTTCCTGAAGCCACTTGTCTTTTGATATCCTGACTACAAGTGCCAAGAATGTTGATTGTGGACCGAGCAAGATAAAATTGTTAACAACTTCAATCTCTTCTCCATATATCATAATTCTGCTGATGGCCTGGTGCTGAGAATCTTTATTTTCTTGGTGTTCAGACACAATCCATATTGAAGACTGCAGTGCTTGGCCTTCTGCAGCAAACACTTCAGGTCCTCCACAGTTTTGACAAGCAAGGTTGTGTCATCTGCATAACACAGGTTGTTGATGAGTCTTCCTTCATTCTTGATGCCACCATTCTTCTTCATAGAGTCCACCCTTCCAAGTTATCAATTTTGCATAGATTGAAAAGGGATGGAGAAAGGATATATTCCTGATGCACTCCTTTCTTGATTTTGAATGATGCAATGTTTCCTTGCTCTCTTCCTGATGTCTGTGTTTCCTGGTCTAAGTATATGTTTCATTCACATGAGCATGATCAAGTGTCCCATTCTTCTAAATGTTAGCACAATTTGTTGTGATCTACACAGTCAAATGGCTTTGCACAGTCAATAAAACACAAATAAACATTCTTATGGTATTCTCTGCTTTTAGCCAAGATCCATCTGACCTTGGCAATGATATTCCTACTGTCCTAAACCCAACTTCTGACAGTTCTCTGCTGATGCATTGTTCCAGTCATTTTTGGATAATCTTCAGCAATATTTTGCTTGTGTGTGTTAATTTCCACACTCTTTTTGAATGGGAATGGATCTCTTCCAGTCAGTTCGCCAGGTGGTTGTCCTACAGATATTTTGGCACAACCTGGTGAGCATACCCAGAGCTACATCTATTTGTTGAAATATGTCAATTGGTATTTCATTGATTCCTGTGGCCTTATTTTTGCCAATTCCTTCAGAGTAGCTTGAATTTCCCCTATCACCATTGCTTCTTGATCAAATGCTTTTTTCACTGAATTCTTGTGTCAGCCTATTGTTTCTGGAACAGTGACTCTGTATACTCCTTCCATCTCCTTTTGAGGTATCTTTATTGCAACTTGAGGCTTGAACGTGTTCCTCAGTTCCTTCAGCTTAAGAAATGCCAAGAGAGTTTACCCCTTTTGATTTTCTAACTCAAGTTCTTTGCGTATTTCGTTATATTTTTCTTTGTATTTCTGAGCTGCCTTTTGAAATCTTCTGTTAAATTCTTTAACTTTCTGATTTCTTTCTTTCGCTTTGGCTTCTCAGCATTCTACTGCAATATTCAGAGTCTCTTCTGACATCTGCCTTAATCTTTTTTCTACATTTGTTTTAGTAACAACCTTTCACATTCTTCATGGATGATATTCTTGATATCCAAGAGCTTATCTGGTCTTTGCTCATTAGTCTCTAGAGCCTCAAACCTGTTCTTAAGATGATTTTTAATTGGTTCTTTGCATATGCTTTAGTTTTCTTTAGCTTCAGTTTGAATTTGCATATGAATAGTTGATGATCTGTTCCATAGGCAGAACCTGGTCTAGTTTTCACAGCTAATACTGAGCTTCTCCAATGATTCTTTCCACAGATGTAAGCAATCTGATTCCTGTGTATACCATTACATGAGATCCATGTGTACAGTTACCGTTTGTGTTTTTTATAAAAGGATTTTCCATGAGTAAGTCATTAATTTTACAGAATTCTATCATTCTATCTCCAGTCTCATTTCTGTCACCAAGTCCATATTTTCTGACTACGGATCCTTATTTCTAGTTCTAAATTTTTGCATTCCAGTCACCAATTATTTTTAAAGAATTTTGGTTGCATGTTTGACTGATTTCAGGCTGTAAGAGTTGGTAGAAATCTCCTATTTGGTTCTCTCTGGCTCTAGTTGTTGGTGCATATATTTGAATGATAATGGTTTCCCTTGTGTGAGTATGGATATTATCCTGTCACTCACAACATTGTACTTCAGGAAGGATCTAGATATAGTCTTTTTGACTATGAATGTGACCTCATATTTTCATTTCGGGCATAGTGGATCATAGGCTTGTCTGATTCAAAATGGCCCATGCCAATCCGTCTCAGCTCACCAATGCCTAGTATGTGAATGTTTACACGTTCCATTTCTTTTTTTAACAATGTCCAATTTTCCTACATTCATACTTCTTAAATTCCATATTCCAATTATTAGTGGCTGTTTGCAACTGTTGCTCATTCTGTATTTCCCACTATGAAGACTCAATCTTCAGTGCTATATCCACTAGTCTAAGTATGCTCTATTCCTCCCTAAATTTAATCCCAGAAACCATTAAGTAACTAAAAGCTTAAGTATTCTCTCACTTAAAAATATTACTAATTGTATATAAAATGTACATTTTCTCTCTGTATCATGTCCTTGTGGCAAAAAGATGTACGCTCTCCTCCCCTGCCATTTATAGTCTCTGAAAACCTACTGAAGGGTCAGTTATGAGTCAGTTCTAACTAGAAGACATACAATAACAATCATGTCCGTAGAAGTTCTATAAAGTCTGATGCCAAACGTCTTTCTATCTCTTCTTGGTATTCCTTCCTTATTTTCTATCACGTGGTTAGAATCCATCAAATGCTCTGGGAGAAGGATGAGCAATCTCCTCTCTTGCCACTAACTGCCTCTGAAAGTCCAGTAGAGGGTCAGCTGTCAGTTGGTTCTGACTTGATGGCACACAGCAACAACAAGAGGCCTCACCTAGGAGTCCTTGTGATGCAGTAAGTTAAAAGTCGGTCTGGTTACCAAAAGGTCAATGGTTTGAACCCACTCTCCACTCTGAAGGAAAAAAGATGAGAAAGTCTCCTTCCATAAATGTTTACAGATGAGGTAATACTATAAGGCAGTTCTGGTTCACCTCATAGGGTCATTACCAGTTGAATTTAGCCTAATGGCAGTGAGTCTGGGTTTTTTAAGCTACATCTATATAGTTCTCTTTTCTTTAAGAAGCTGTACCCCACAGAATTTTACATGCACTTCTCTTCTGCTACCTCCCTTAATTACTTTATTGAGATAGCTGTTTCTTCTGCTAGAAAGTTTGCTGGATCGATTGGTGGATGGATGGAAAACGGATGGAGGAAGGTCATGAGGCTTGGAAGAAGATTCATTGTAAGAGCATTTTGACAACTGTAATACCAATCTTATGTTCTTGTCCCATTCATTCCTCTCTCAACCGTTGTCTCTCAACCTTTCTTTCTCTGTTGCAGAATATAGGACAATTTATTGCAATGAGTATTTCTCTTATATGTAGATAGAGGCTTCACAATCTCAGGACCTATAAGAACTCTAAAATGGCTTTTCATTAAAAATTTAAAGTATCCTATCACTCAACAATTGTTGCTCTGGCCTGCCTTCTTAAATCCCCTCAGCATAGTTGTAACCATGATCTTAGGAAGAAACAAATGAGTTTTAAAAATTGCTTATATATAAAATACACTCTTAATATTCAAAACCAAAATGATAGCAAATTAAATGTCTCTTATTTTTCCCCAAAAAGATATTTATCCCCAAAAAGATATTTAGCTTACTAGCTTTTTGAAGACACACATTAGATTTTGTTTAGCTTGACACCATTCACAAATTGTAACAGAAAGAGGACCAATTTTAGTCACAAGTTATCAATAATTTATCAAGTTGTTCACATTTCTAGAATCTTACCAAGTTACTATTCAGTCCAATCCACAAAGGTGTTTTCAAATTTTGCATTTGTATCCACACAAATGCATTGCTGTAGGGATCTAGAATGCTTCCAATTTGAGAATTTTGAGCTTTGCAATAATTTTCTGCTTCATACCATGAAAACTTGAATTGAATGAGTGAATAGCTGCTTTCACCATACTTAATAAAACCATCTGTTGGTTTTGTTGTTGGAGAAACAGGTAAAGAAGGGTCTGAAATAAAAAAATAGTCTTTTCATTAGTATTTTCTAGAAACATTAATGGAGTCCAATCAGTACATAAGTATCATGCATTGTCAAGATAATCAGAACCACCAAGTGTTAAAAATGTTTTCATGAATTAATTTGCACAATAAAGCAAAGTTTATATACTATCATTCTGCTTAATTAAATTTGAAATTTTCCAAACTGTGTTATGAATATTAAAGTAAGTATATGATCATGTTTCCAGACTAAAAACCAAAACCCAAAATCCAATGACTAGCCTATACTTAATGAAAGAATTGCCACAGTCATAAATAATGGACTTTCTGTTTCCCACTACATAGTCAAAACATTATTCCTCCCCTTCCTGCTGTTTGGTCTGTCACACCCATAACTTTGCATATATTTGTATCTATTTGATTCCACCAGTAAGGACTGTTGCTGCAGCACCCTGACTGAAGCTTCCAGAATAAAGTTATAAACTAGGCACTGTGTTTATTTCATGATGAAGCTTAACTTTTACTGATAATTGCCAAAGTTTGTTTTTTTCTTTCCTCCTCCATCTCCTAGCATGAGTGTGTACTCAACGCTTTGGGCCTACCTGTTCTCTAAGTCACTTACTGTCAAAACTTTTAAAAAACACTTGCATTGCATAATTTGGTCTTGTTCTTGGAAGGGGTCAGTTCTTGAAAAAAAGACATTTTCCTGGGAAAGGTAGAGGGTCAGGGAAAGAGAAGATGGACAGACACCGGAACTGTAACAACGGATTCGTACATGGTAGAGATGATGAAGATGGTGCAGGTTGGGGCAGAGTTCAGATCTGTCGTTCACAGGACCGCCCTGAGTTATGGTTAGCTCCTTGGTACCAAACAACAGCATTAGTTAAAGCCTTTGATTGCCTTGGAGAGACTCTTAGTGGAATTATAAACGTCAAAGATAATTCTAGTGAAGGCTCAGAAGAAATTCAGGAAAGTTAAATATCTCTGTCATCTTAGAGAGTATACATGATGTCAGCAATTGCAGGTCTAAAATGTTACTTGTTGTGTGTACCAAACAGTCAGAATTGACTCATAGCTGACCCTCTGGCAGGTTTTCAGAGGCAGTTAATTGCACAGGAGGAGATTTCCCATCCTTCTCCTGTGGAGCAGCTCCTGGCCTCGAAACATGCACCTTCAGGTTTGCAGTGCAGCTTCTTACCACTAGGCCACCAGAGCTATTAAATTTGCTTCTGATGAGGCTTTAACACAAAATGATGAGCATGCGATTGATTGGACAAGGGAAGAAGGATGATGCTTTTAATGCAGTGGTAAAGAACTTGTCTGACTTGTGCCCAAATGTTGATTGGAGGTAGAACCTAATAAATGATGAATTTGACTGTCTGGATGATGGAATTTCTAAGTAAAATCTTACAGGAACCTCATGTTTCTCTTTGCCACATACAGTAAAATGCAAGAGACAACAGACTTAAATTGAACTGTGAAAAATGAAAGCAGGACTCAAGCAGTTGGAAATATTATTGTACAAACTAAGAAAAAATGTCCTAGAATATTCACTAAGGGCATAATGACTACACCATCTTTTGTTAAAGAGATTAAATCTGTGATTGATGGATTTAGCCAACAGCTTTAACAGAACACTCATAAACGGAGACTGAAGGGGACAGAGAAAGAATGCAAGAGAAAAAAAATCTGTCTGTGGGAAGTCTACACCAGGCAGGAAATAAGCTAAAGGCATTACATCAGTTGTCTTCTGAGAAAAGAAAAAAGCTATCCTTGGAGCAGCTCAGAGAGTATGAAAACTACTAGTTTTGGCTCGGCCAATTCTCCAAGCTATTCTACTTTATACTTAGTCTTAACACACTTTCTTCCTTCTGTTAGTACATAAGAGCCAAACTTTTGAATATGCCTGATAAAGCAACAACTTTCATTTCACACATACACACATCACAATCAATTAATCAATCAATAAAAGCAGTCACCCTCTTTTTTCTGCTGTTGCTGCCATCTTGTGTTGGTATAATATCATTAAACCAAGCAACCCAGGCCGTTACGACACTGAGCAAGCAGTCTTATGCTGTTCTAAGGGATATCCTAAGGGGATATCTTATGAGATCCTCAGCGGGATCCAAGCTTGTCTCAACAATTTTCTAATTAAAATTTCACTGGCCAGTGAGAGTGGTAAACAAAGCTAGCAAAGTGGTAAACAAAGCTAGCAAGCTATTTTCATACATTTACCTATTCTGGATCTTTCACAAAAAGGGGGGCAGTGTATGTATGTAGAATAATCTTATTAGGAGGAGGTAAAGGGAGTCAGTGCTCAGAGGGCACTGAGTTTCTGCGATCTATACCAACATCTACTTCTGTGGACTTAACTCCAACTCTTAGTAACCTCCTGCCAGGTTCCAAAGACTATAAATCTTTACAGAAGAAGAATGTCCATCATTCTCCAATGTGAACCTTTTGGTTAAAAATCTAATTGAAATGTTATGCTACCAGAGCTCCTGAGCTTCTGTTAAGGAAGGTGGAAAAAATTCTAAACAGGGAGTGGTGATGGCTCTGTAACAGCAATGTCATTGAATTTTAGATATGGGGGGGGGGAATGAAATCTTAATAGGAGACTAGCCATCTTTCTCCTTCAGAGACATAGGTGGTTTTGTACCAAAGGAGACATTTGTTCCTTTGGTTAGCAGTATAAAAACTACACCTTGAGAGTTCCATATACATATATACACATATATATATTTTTATATATGTGTGTGTGTGCGCGTGTGTATATATATATATACTTCTTGTTGTTGTTGTTGTTAAGTGCTATTGAGTCATAGACAACTCATAGTGAACCCATGAAAGAAAGACCTGAACACTTGTATAACATTTGTCATTTCTCCATGTTCCTAGAGTTTCCCGAGGCAAGCCATTTCTGAAGCGGATGCCACTCCTTTTTCCAAGCTTGTTTTAATCGAAAAGCTCCACCAAACACTGTCCATTGTGGGTAACCATTATCACATTAGACACATCAGTGTCACAGTGTTTAGCATCACAGCAACCATGAGTTACCTCTGTACAGCAATACACAGACCAGTGCTATGCCACTTAGAAGAATACTTGACCAAAAACAATAGAAAAACCAAATGTGTTTTTTAAATAGGAGGCCGGATCACACCATCTCATAGCTGTTAGTGAGTCAACATTCCACCCTAATCCTCACAAGTACCAGCAAACAAGCCTCTATAGAATCCGGCTGCTGCAGAGACTTCCAAACTGGATTCCAGCCCCAACTGCTGACCAAATGTGTGTGTGTGTGTGTTTTAATAAGAGGCCGAATCACATCATCTAAAACTTAAATAATAATGCATTGCTGCTGAGTCTACTTCAAACAGTAGGTAGTCACTCCATGGACCGGGGTGGGGGGGAAATCTGTTCCATAGGGTTTCCAACGTGCTAGATTTTTAAGGAAACAAATTGTCTAATCTTTCTCCTGCAAAGCAACTGGTGGGTTCAAACTACCCACATTTTAGTGGGCAAACAAGTACAGGGCTTCATGTAGATTTATTAAATAAAATCAACAAAGAATTATTTTCACAACTGGCTAGGAAACTTAGTTCATCTATCCCATTTTCTTCCTAAAAATTTGTTGTTGTTGTTGTTGTTGTTATGTGCTGTCAAGTCACCTGCAACTCATAGCGACCCTGTGTACAACAAGCCTGAACCCTGCTCTATCCTGTGCCAATCTTATTGTCTCTGACACACCTATCCTCATTACCCCAGTCACTGAATCAAACCCTCTCATCAAGAGTCTTCCTCTCTTGCACTGTCCCTCTATTTTCTTTTCATTTAACAAAACTCAGGCTTCTTGAGGTGAAAAATATAACTCGGATCAGATACTTCTTTTTCTTGAGACAGAAAAATAGAATAACTGACAGGTCATTCATGATCCTTTGTGCCAATGGTTCTCATATCACGAGCTGAACTAAATTAAGTACTCCTGACTTTTTTTTTTAAGCTACTAGTATGCAAACACCCTAATTTTTTAACAAAATTGGGGGGGAAATAAACTTCTGATTTAATCCTTACAAAACTGTTAGGCATTATGTAAGCAGCGTATTCAATAAACTATACAAAATGACACTCTTTTTATCTGTAACATGTATTTAAATGAGATTTTAAAAAAACTTTAAATGATAATCAAGCAAACCCACATAAAACTGTTTGAGTTTTTTTAAAAAAAAGATTAAAGACCTAGCTGTCACAGACGTTATGGCAGCACTTACTGGGCGGGGTCTGGCATATATAGCCTCTCTTACTGTCACAAGTATCATCCATCCATTTTCCAGCATCCCTTGATTTGCCTCCAATAAGAACAACACAGTCAGCCTGTACATTTGTAGAGAAAACAAGTATGAATCAGCAATATTTTCAATTCATTCACTCATAGTTTTTAAACCGCTCATTGACGACAATCTAAAAATGTTAAGATCTTCCAAATTGTTTTCCCATATTATTAACCTATCATTACATTTCATGCTGCTACACCAACTTCACGTGTGCTCCCTCACATCTAAACCCTTGATAACTGAATTCAATAAACGAAATAAGTTTGGATAATAAATTTTAACTATAGGCCTGAGAGGCCCCCAAGTCATAAATTTTATAAATCACTACCAAAATTTAGGAAATAAATAGATTAGGAGAATATAATGTCCTCTCCATATGTATTCTCACTCTCTAAGCCTAGAAAGAAAGAAAAATATATACACTTTCTATTTCTTATTGCTAACTTAATATACAAAGTTATTTATCAGTTCATAGGTAAGTGCTTGTATAGCTTGAAAGCTTTCCTTTACAATCTTACAGGTTAGGGCTCTTTTATCAGTTTTACATTTCAAGCTTTCATAAATCATAGTTTTCCTAGAAGTAAAAAATAACAAAGACACAGAACTTCTATCATCTAGTATTAGAAAAGAAATTTTATTATCTCCTATGTTGGGTTCATTTAACCTCACAGTTATTATAATCATATTTTATACTTACAATAGCCAACATGTTTAAGTACTTTATATAAATTAACTTATTGAAATTAAAGCCCATCTCATAATTGTTGTTGTTGTGTACCATCAAGTTGGAACTGATCCTTAGCTGACCTTCTGCTGACCCCATGATTACGCCCCTGTCCATCCTCTGCTCCTACCCTCCCCCCCTTAGAGCCTCATAAATGTTTTACTAGTTATCTATTTCTACAATAATGGTCTTATTCAGTATGAATTTTTAAATCAATGAAATCTTTTCTGTTCAATGAAATATGGTAATTATCTTCTCTAACGCTGGACGTTCTGCAATATGAGATAAAATAGTTATCTTACTGTTCAAACCAGCTGTGTTACTGTGTTCTCGTGCAGGTGGGTCAGAGAATCAGTCCAGATAGAGTTGACCTTCAATAAACTGCGTCACTCCTATCACTATAGGTGACTAGGGGCATGGACACAGAAGCTGGCTTCTGGGTGTTTCTAGCAGGTACAAGTCCATGCATTATACCAATAGCTACACCAGGCTCCACAGAACAGGAATTTGAGGTTTAATCAGTTGTTTCACTTCTGTCTTCCTTCCATGTCTCTCTCTTACTTTAGAAGCTTGATATGCATAAAATGCACATCTTCTCCTTCAGTCTCTTCTTTCCATCTCCTTTCTCTCAGTGTGTGTGTGTGCGTGTGTGTGTGTGTGTTCCTCGACCACACAATCACACACACATATAATACTCCATCAGTCATTCATGTTTGGGGTCCATTTACTCCATTGTCATATGTACTGATACATTCTTGATTTCTTTGTCTCATTCACATGCACTTAACCTCCATTAACTTATGCCTTTCCTTAGTGTGCTAAAATCTGTCCTTTACATAAAAGAATGCAATTGCAATCTGTTTCCATCAATGAAGCTACTATTCCACCCGAGGTCATAAAACTAGAGCTGAAGGTCTACCCCTTGGTTTTATAAATAAAGTTAACAGGGAACAGACCCACACTCTTTTGCATTGCGCCTATGGCTGCTTTTACACTATAATAGCTGGGTAGTTATAAGAGAGACATTTGAGCCTACAAACTAAAACCATTTGTCATCCAGTACATTCGCAGTCCTAGTGACCTCAGGTATGTTAGAATGGAGGAACTAAGCTCCAAAAGGTTTTTAAGGGCCTATTACCTAGAAGTAGGTCACCAGACCTCTCTCCTGAGGTGTCTCTGTAGATTCAACTCTCCAACCTTTCAGGTAGAACTGACCATGTTAATCATTTGCATCACCATATGCACTCCAAGCCCAACTCATTAGCTGGTTCTTTACAGAAAGTGTGCCGATCTCTAAACCCCACCTCAACCAAAACACAGTGCTTTTCACTTTTATTCTTTACAATTGCTTTAATATTTTACTTTTCCCCCTCGTAAATACTATCTAAGTCAGGCTCATTATTTTTCTTCTGAAATTGGCATTCCTTCTATGTAGAACATATTTGATCCATCTAGCCCACTTTCACATTTGTCTAGTCCTGGTGATAAAGAGGAAACAGAAATAATTCAACATGCAACTGGTAATTTAATCTTAAATGTAGCCTTTAGTTTTATTTAAGGTAAGAGAATAGGTCCTGGGAAGAGGTCATTAGGGTAGCCAGAAATATAGGTTGTTGTTCATTACTATTCTTTAATATATAAGAACATAACTTCTCCAGTCAAGCCTATGTGTAAACTCCTTTTAGGTTTTTTCCCCAGTGGTGGACTATTGGCTATGTAAGGATAAAAGAAGTAACAGATTGACTATTAAGTTAATACACAAAGGCACTTAACACAGTGCCTGGCAAACAGTAAGCACTCTATAAATGTTCTCTCAGTAGTAATGATGATGACAATCCTTTGTTGTTATTATGTGCCATCAAGTTACCTGCGATTCATAGTGAAGCTATGTACAACAGCTCCGAACCCTGCTCTATACTAAGGAAACCTCACCATCTCCAACACACCTACAACCCATTACCCCAGTCACTGAGTCAATCCATCTCATCAAGGGTCTTCCCCTCCTGCACTATCCCTCCATCTTCCTAAGCATATTGTCCCTCTTCAAGGACTGGTCGCTCCTTGCAACATGCCCAAAATATGCTTGATAATCTTATAAAGTAGTGAAAACTCCCAGACCTACATCCCAAATACTACAGTAGCTTCAAGAGTTTGGGTACAGTAATGAAAGAAAGAAGATACTAGAAAACTATAATAAAGATAAATGGAATAAAGTAGGATTCCTTACTTCCTAAATTAACATTTACTTTCTCTTCCACATGCGAAATCAAAGCTATGAATTCTTAATTGAACTTATATCAGTTCCCTGAAGATGGAATCTCAAACAATTAAAATATGCAAGAATTCATCAGATCAAGGAATCTTCTTGTAGAAGTTCAGTAGATGGCTGGCTAATCACTGCTATGATAACTTTTAAGCATGATGACTTTCTAGAGAAGTAATGAGAAACTGATACTTACATCTTCATAAGACAAACTGCTTCTTCTTCCACCAGGATAACCTTTCCCCCAGTTTGTATAATGTACTCCCCGCTGATCTGTCCAAAGGAATGTATGCTCTGAATTGACATCATTCAGCCCAGTCCAGGCATTAAAATTGGACCCCTTCATATTATAGGTAATAAATGCTGGAAGAAAGTTGCACAAAATAAATTGAAACATTGAGGAAAATACACAAAATGTAAGTAGTAGCCAAAATATGTTCATTTCAAAGTACTGAATGTCATTTATGTCATTGTTTTGATTACTGTTATTATTCTTCAAATGCATTTATCATAAAGAAAAGTTGTAACTTCAGCTTTGGATGTCAAATTTCCTCAAAATAAAATTCCAGATTGCTTTTATTTGTGTTTTGTTTTGTTGCCTCTGTCACAGCAAATGATAGTACAATTTGTGTCCTGTTCAAGGGCACTCAGCCAATGAGGGCAGAAGAAACTGAAATCCCTCCATCCCTCACCCTACTCTCCATTTAGGACACCTTGATCTGGCTACGTTTGGATACAATCCAAAGGAACAGGTACTTTTTCCTAATAGAAAATCAATATATAGGTTAGAAATTGTCCTGGGTTATAAGTAAAACATGCTAATTAAAATTAGTAGGAAAGAGTTCTGGTCCTAGAAAATTTCTAGAAATATAAACTATTTGCCAAAGCCAGAAGTATGAGGTTCTTGAGTTATAATACTTGTGAAGAGCTAGAAGAACTACTGGACTGGGATTCCTCTTGAGGTGATCAGTTCCTCGAGCTCAGTGCTCTGTATGGAGTGTGCTTGGGCAAGGATTCAACTGGATTTAAAATGATCACATCATAAGGCAAGAAGACACAGAGAATTCAGAGACAATAGTATAAATACGGCCTCTTTCTTTTTTTATCAAATTTAGGGTAGACAAGATGGCCTCAAGTATCTAGAAGTTATATTATAAGGTCAGGTCAAGTAATTTTGTTATCAGGCCCCATTGAGTCAACTCTGACTCATAGCAATCTTATATAAAACATAGAAAATTAGCCCCATCACAATCTCCACTATGCTTAAGCCTATGTTGTTGCTGTGTGCCATTGAGTCAGAACCCATAGCTGACCCTCCAGCAGATTTTCAAACATAGTTAATTGCACAAGAGAAAATTGCCCATCCTTCCTCAGAGCAGCTGGTGGATTTGAGTTGTATACCTTCAGGATTGCAGCACAGCTTCTTAACTCTAGGCTATCAGAGCTGCCTATAAAGAACCTCAAAATACTGCCAGATCCTACAATATTCTCAAAATTCTTGCTGAGCTTGAGCCCATTGTCACAGTCACCGTGTCAATCCATCTCAATGAAATTCTTCCTTTTTTTTCAATGGCTCTCTACCAAGTATGAAATCCTTCTCCAAAAAGTTGTGTCTCCTGATACCAACTCAAAGTGTGTGAGACAAAATGCAAACAGGAGAATGGAAGCCTGTTGACACCTCCTCACAGTCTCTACTGTGCTTAAGCCAGAGGTTACAGTCATTGTGTTGTTACTCCTTCCTGTTGAGTGTCTTCCTTAATTTTCACTGACTCTTTACTTTTCCTGCATTATGTTATTCCCCAGGGATTCACCTCACCTAATAACTGCCCAAAATATGTGAAATGTAGACTCACATCCTTGCTCTACAATATTTTCTGGCTACAGTTCTTCCTGGACACATCACCAACACCACAATTGAAAGGCATCATTCCCCACCCCCCCTTAGGCTCAACTTTCATATGTATTTGAAGCAATTGAAAATACCACGCCTAGGCCAGACACACCTTAGTCTATAAGGTAATACCCTTGTTCTTTTTTTTTTTTTGGTGCCCTCTCTGAGGTACGAGCTCAGTAGTAGTTTTGCACAATGCAACATGCCATTTGAATTCCTGACTGCTACTTCCATGAGTGTTAAATGTGGATCCAAGCAAATGAAATCCTTAACTTCAGTATTGTTGTCCTAGTTGTGAATATTTTTGTTTTCTTTATACTGAAGTGTAATCCATACTGAAATCTCTGAGTTTCTTCAGTAAGTCCTCTATCTTCATTTTCTGTAACGAAGGTTGTATCACCTGCTAATTGCCAGTTGTTGAAAAGTCTTCCTCCAGTCCTCATGCAACATGCTTCACAATATAGTCTATCTTTTTGGATTACTAATTCAACATACATATTTGATAGATAGGATGAAAATATAATACTCTGACATACACATTTCCTGATTTTAAACCAAGCAGCATCCCTTTGTTCTGGTCAAATGACTGCTACTAGAGCTATGTACAGATTCCACATGAGCACAATTAAATATTCTGGTATTCCTATTCTTGTCAAGGCCATCCCATTTATTCTGATCCATACTTTTGAATGCTTGTATAGTCAAAAAAACATAAACAACATCTTTCTGGTATTCTTTGCTTCCAGCTAAGATCCATTGGATATAAACAATGATATCTCTTGTCTGATGGTCACACTGAATCCAGCTTGAATTCCTGGTGATTCCCTTTCGCTGTACTGTTTAAGTAACTTTTAAATTACCTTCTGCAAGATATTTATATTATTTGCCAACAACAAGATCCAAAGACATCAACTCTTCTTCAGTCTTCCTTAATCATATCCCAGCCTCCAGATGCGTATATTGTTGCTATTGTGTACCATGGAGTCAGAACCAACCCAGAGCTGACCCTCCAGCGGATTTTTCAGAGGCAGTTAATTGCACAGGAGCAGATTGCCCATTCTTCTTCCGTGGAGCAGTTGGTGGCGTCAAACTATGTACCTTCGGGATTGCAGAGCAGCTTCTTGACACAAGGCTACCAGAGCAGCGAATAAAAATATCGTGGCTTTGGTCAGCAGCATCCTAATAAAAGTGACATCTTTGTTTTTTAATACTCTATCCTTGTCATTAATCACAATGTCGCTTGGTCCAGCAGTGAAGATTTTTATTTCTTTATGTTGAGATGCAATTCGCCTTCCCACCACCTATCTTTCAATGGGGGCCTGCATGTTGCTGTGATGCTGATCAGATTTTAGTTGGATCTTCCAAACTAAGAAGCACTAGAACAAAAGACCTGAAGATCTACTGGGGATGTGGGGGTTGCGGGGAATCAGCCAATGATAACTCTATAAGCACAATAGTGCCATCCACAATCAATCAGGGAGACAGCACAAAACCAAGAAACATTTGGTTTCATGGTGCATGGGTCGGGGTATCTAAGGTTTGTCTTTCAGGTGTCTTTTCCAGATAGTGATTAACTGTTCATTTTGTACGAAAGTAATTCTTGTATTAAGGACAAAGGATTAGGGTGAGAAACAAGCCCCCTACTAAAGGCTTGGATAAACTTATGGGACCTCAGCGCCAGGTGGCTTTTTCCTTTGAAAAAGCTTGCTTGCCTGAGACATGTCTTCCAGCTGCTCACCAGTCTCTACACCACCAGCCTGCACCACCAGCCTGCACCACCCACCGTCACCACTTAGCTGTGCCCCAAGTGACAGGCTACAGGATCCTGGCCCGTGGCTCACCAGCTTCTCCAAAATGAGCCTGCATATCTATGGTCACGTGACTCATTCCCCTGACAGGTCTGAGTCTCTGGGAGACCTTCTAGAGAATCTGGACCCAAGGGTCATAGAGGAATTGGGGAACTGAGCCACGGATGGAGCTGTTCGTTTTAGAAATTACGGACACATACAGCTGGTTAAGCATTTGGGACTATGTCGACCTGAGACTTCCCATAAACAGTCTGCTATTAATCTTAGCAGGACGAATTATGAAAACAACGGGCTTGCCATGCGTGGGGGTCAACTCAGAGGCAGCTAACTACAAAATACATGCCACATGGGTGAGCATCTATGCTGTGGGACACCAATTTGCAAACACTTAATCTTAGCCATGTCTCCTGAATGAACAAAGGAAATGAAATTACTAAGTACTTAGGGTTGCTAATAGAAAATTCACAATAGATAAAAGTCCCCAGTAACATGATTATCTGTTTCTTTACAAACAAGCAACTTCACAGAAGAGCCAAAATAAAAAACAAAACAAATTCTTGTAACAATTTTCAGAAAGAAGCACAAAGAGCTAGAGATTTATTTTTATTTTATTTTGTTTCCTAAAAAAGAACACAACTTTTGCTTGATCCTCAATCTGAAATGAGATGTGGAAAAGCTCTACCTGCCAATATTTTCAGCGCTGACTTTTTTCCTGCCAACAACCACAGTAAGAAATCAACAATGTGTGCCTTTTTTGCCAGGAATAATGTTATTTTATCTGAAAATTGTTTCCTTCTGCACATTTCTATTGCCCAGGTTCTAATTTTGCTATGCTAGGAATCAGCACTTTGTGGCTAAGAGAGGAAATCAATTCTTATGTTTCTCTGCTGGATAGCTAAGCCCAAAATGTGGTAGGCCAGTTAGAGAAATGTGAAGTTGTATTCCTACAATTTTTAATGTGTGTTATGGTTTGACCGTTTTCTGAGTGTCTGGCAAGTTCCTGAACTTGTCAAAGGTTCTCTGAGAAAGCTTGGATGATTTCTTGTACACTGTGTTCTAGAAGAACATGAAGCCGTTTAAAAGGATCATAAGCATGTGGGAAAGAGCCATACAGGATTCTAGCATCTTTCATGCTTCTTACAATTTTTGAAATGTATCCTTTATTTTCACTGAATGATTTTGGAATTAAAAACCTTCTCAAAACTAAAAAGGAATATAAAGCTTATCTAAGTCTGTATCTCTCTTTTAGAAAATGCTTATAAATTCATGTTTACAATGAACATATATCGGGCATCTCTCATGCGTACATACCAATCAATATATGTGACTCTATAGTATCCCTCTGGCCACTTTCATGTTTAAGCATTTTTAAAGCCTTTTAGAAAACTCACCTTCCTCACAGTGCAACTTAATCAGTTAGTTCTACTGGTTAGAGCTACCTCCTCATTTTGAACTGAGTTTCTCTATAATGTCTACTCATTGATTTTAAATATTCCTTCACTTTTTTTTCTAGGTCATCCTTCAGGATGTATATCTTATCTTTTGAGCCTTAATAGTCTCTCAAACATTCTTCACATGCCATGGTTTCTATAGTTTAATCTCGTTTGGTTCTTACAGTGATGATTCATAAACTTGGGTTTAGCTACACAAGGTTCAGACCTGTTGTTCATAGGATCAATATAGGTTATAATTGACTCAATGACACCCAACACCACCACCACCACCACAGTCTTCACATATGGCCAATGACATGCAAAATAAGCACCTTTTCTTTGACAATGCTATTATCATGACTATAATCTACCAGTTACAGAGATAGTTCTTCAAAATTTTAGCTTAATCTTGTTTCATCAAAAACATTTTTCTCAATTTGTTCAAGGTTTGCTTTTGAACTATCATTTTTATTGTATTATTTTTTGTTGTTAGGTGCCATTGAGTTAAGTAGGACTCATAGCAACCCTGTGAACAACAGATCTGAACCCTGACCTATCCTGTGCCATCCTCACATTTCCTGACATTAGAGCCCATTGTGACAGTCACTGTGTCAACCCACCTGGTTGAGGGTCTTCCTCTCCTTTGCACACCCTCTACTTTTCCTAACATCATGTCCCTCTCCAAGAAATAGCCCTCCCAGAAATATGCTGGAAGTATTCAATGCAAAGTCTCATCATCTTTGCCTCCAAAGAACACTCTGGCTGCACTCTCTAAGACATATTTGTTCTTTTGGCAGTCCATGGGATGTTCATTATATTCTTATATTGCATTTATAAGGTAACTTATAAAGGTATTAGAAGTTCAGTTAATGGGGGGAGAGAGGAGGAGGAATGCATCATTTTATTTCCAGAACCATTAAATTCTTTGGCTATTTGAAGAGCAAACTAACTTGGTAGGAAGGGGCTGGGATTTAAGGTTGGACAACTCTAGGTTTGATAGTCAACTCTACAGTTTACCAGGAAAACCTCTTGACCCAAGACTCTCTGACTTCCTCACAATCCAAGAAAGAGGTTCCCTTATTTATATTATGAAGGTAATATCTAATTAACAGAATTGTTACATAGTAAAAAAACTTTACATGTAAAATGTCTACAAAATAATGGTTATCAATAAACTTTTTTCTCTACCTACTTTTCACTCTGGAAAGTAAAAAGAAAAAGAAAATCATTTACTATCAGCAGTACCCTGTCAATTTTTAAAAACAATTTTTAGTATCTTATCATTTTATTACAAAACCCACAATTAAATGTGTCATAAATTGGAAAACAGCCCACATACCTTGCTCCTTTTCTTGATGTATGGATACCAAATTTCCTCCAAATCCTATGCAAGCCTTTCGTGCTTCTTGCCAATTTTTTCTTTCTTCTTCAGTAAATCCAAAGATTCTCAAGCACTGAAATAAATGTAAGTTAAAAAAAATGTGAGGGGGAGAAAAACCCCACACATTCCTAAAAGATAGAGTTTGGCAAACTAGATTTCTATTTACTACATAGGTTATAAATAGCTCCACAAATATAGCAGAGTAAATGGGAGTAAAATGATGGCAATGTCTTAGTCTTAACCTTGAATGAATGAATCTCTGGGCCTGGAGGCTCAGGATTGTAGATACACCGAGATTAATTGGCATTACAAAGCACACAGTGTTCCTTATACTACTTGTGGAGTAATGACTAGGATCTTAAAAGGTTTCAAGAGGTCATCTAAGGTAGCAATTATTTGTCTCTCCTTATCTGGAGTGAAGAAGAGTGAAGAAAATAAAAGACTATTAGTCTAAGAACAAATGGATAATGTGAATTTTAGTCTCTATGACTCTGAGTCCAGAAGAACTCATTGGTACCCAACTACTATAGACAACTATTCTCAAAGGGATCATTGAACTCAACATAGTTTTTATAAAAAGTCAGGATTACTTGTCTGTTAGAGACCAGTGGAACCCCAGCTGTTCATCACCCTTCAAGACTGGAAGGGAAATCATCCCACAAACAGGCCTATAAGGTGATCAATAACACCAGGGAGGAATACACTGCTTAGAACAAGCAACCTTACAAGATCAAAGGGGCAGCACTTGCTGGGGATAAAGCTCAGACAAGAAGATACAGGAAAAAAGGGACAGATGGAAATGGGAAACTTGAAGAAAATAAAATAAATGCAGTAACATTGTAAGAATTGTAATTAATATCACAAAACAAAATGTGTATACATTGTTAAATGAAAATCCAATTTTCTTTGTAAATTTTCACTCAAATATCAATAAAGTTAATTTAAAAATACATGATAAAAGAAACACTCACAAAACATTGAGTTTAGCTAAAGACTATAGAGGGGAGGTCTGGCGACTTGGTGGCAAGGAGTGCCTCTGATAATGCAAAGCAGGTGGTTCAAATCTACTAGCTGCTTTAAAGCAGAAAGATAAATAAACATAGTACACATGTCAGCCTCTCAGAACCCACTGGAGGTTAAGCTATGAATCAATTCTGACTCAATAGCAGGTAACAACAACGAAGACTATAAAAAAGAAAAAAATGTTCAGAAAGATTATAACTAGACATGAAATTTCTCACAATCCAAGAGAGAATGGGATTTTTCTGTTGGGTTGTTTGTTTGGTTGGTTGGTTGGTTGGTTGCTTGGTTGGTTTTAGACACATAAAATCTCATTTCAACATTTTCTGGATCATACTATACCTTGGGATAAGTTATATCTCTATTTTAATATCTTCTAGGATGATCTCAGAGTTTCTACAGAGCATTTATCTTGGAAATATCTACCTATTCTAACAAAAACAAATCTGAAGTGATTTACTGAGGTAAGTAAAGGATCATTTTGAGTTGAACAATTCATACTGTCATTTCCCTTACTGATTAATGCCAAAGCTAGGACTATTTCTTCTCATACCTTGTTATTGAAAAGTTTCCAACCTTCCTCACAACCACCTTTCACTGGAGGTGTGGTAGGAATAGCTGTGGCATTGATGCTGCTATTATGCCTCTGGCAAATGAAAGCATGTGGATAACCACAATTAACATCATTCCACAAGCCTGCAAAAGACCAGAAGATTACATTATTAGTTTAATATGCTATAGTCTTCACAATTGTGTGCTACGCATCGGAGAGTTGGACAGTGACTAGGGGTCACAGAAAGAGAATGATGCCTTTGAGCTGTGGTGCGGGAGAACAGTGTTGAATATACCATGGACTGCTAGGAGAACAAACAAGTTTGTGCTGGAGAGGGTGAGGCTGGGCTGTTCCTTGAAGGCAAGGATTCTGAAGCTTCATCTGACATAATTTGGGCATGTTGCAAGGAGGGACTGGTCCTTGGAGAGGAACATCATCTTTGGGAGAGTAGAGGAACAGTGCAGGAGAGGAAGACCCTCGACAAGATGGATCAATTCAGTGATTAGGGTGGTGGAAGTATACATGGCAGAGATGGTGAGATTGGCACAGGATAGAGCAGGGTTTAGAGCTCTTTTACATAGGGTGGCTATGAGTCTCAGGTGACTCAACAGCATATAACAACAACAACCGCCACATGTTTATGTTTATAAACAATGCTGGAGAGGAAGACCCCAGATGGGATGAATTGACACAGTAACTAGAGTAATGGGGGGTAGGTGTGTTGAAGTCAGTAAGACTGGCTCAGAATATGGCAGGGTTCAGAGCTGTTGTACATATGGTCCCTGTGAGTCAACAAACAATAATCTTGTAAAAAAATAAAAGATAAAACATGACAGAGTGCTTTCTATAAAGTAAGCATGCACTTGGTGTTTCAAATGTATTAACTAAACAGTTAAAAATAGTTTACTAACATCTAAACTTTAAATTAAGGAAACTCTAGTAGCTTTGTGATAAGGAGTTTTGCTGCCAACCCAAAGTCATGAGGTTCAAATCCTCCAGCTGCTCCATGGGAGAAAAATTGGAAATCTCCTATGTGATTTACTGCCTCTGAAAACCCACGGGAAGGTTAGATAGAGTGGGATTCAACTTAAAGGTACACAACAACATCAGCAATACAACAGAGTTTATATTTAACAGATATCTGCTTAATGTTCTATGTATATCCTCCCATTTAAATTTCTGAGCAACGTATCAGATGAGGTCTTTCATTAATTATGTTTTACATCATGTATGAGAGTAAATGCTAACCATCTTCTCTTTACACTGTACACAGTTATGCTCTAGTATTAGAAAGCATTAGCATTATTTTTCCCCTTTTCTTGCCTCATGGAATTAAACAGTTTGCTAATTGTAACCTAGGGATGTAGGAAATGATACAACCCACCAGAAGGCAAATTTAAAAAAAAAAAAATCATTATGTTGCCTACCTGAATTTGAATACATGGTTACACAATTTTCATCATCATTTGCAAAATTGGGTTCACCAGTGGCCCAGGCCACATAATCCACTTTGCTTCCATCCATCCACCTGGAAAAGACAATGCAGTCATTTTGCATCAGTGCAAATAAGAGAACAATTGTCTACAATCTAGTGAAGTTGGGTGGGGGAGGAGTGAGACAAGACCTCAAGTCAGTCAAGATGAAGGGAGGATTGAAGAACAGAAGAGAATCAAAGGAGACTGACAGGAAAATCCCCACACTCCTTGAGTCTTTATGTGTTCATTCTACTGTCTTCCTTTGTAACAACCTTGATGCCTTGGCTAATTTGTCTTCTTACTTCTCCCACGAAGAAGTTACCTTATTCTTTAAGTGGGAAACAGGATAGAGAATCCAAGTTCTACTCTAGAAGTGGGCCAGAAGCAAAATTCCTTTCTTTGCACTCCTTGGGCTTGATTCTTAACAAACAAAAACACCCATAGAGAAGCAGAAGCTCTGCATTGTGTCAGGAGACTACCTATTCACTGGTTTATTTTTATTTTTTTAACCCCATTCATTCTGCATTCACTTCAGTCATGTGTGTCATTTCTTGTTTCCTGAGGTTTTAGAAATTCAGACACCTTATCAGCTGGAAAGGGACCTAGGGATCATTTAAATTGGCCCTTTCATTGTGCAAAAGAAACACAGACCTAAGGAGCAGCTAGAGTTTCAGTTCTTTAAACATAATAAGCTGCACACCCATGTTTATCACGGCTTTGTTCACAATAGCAAAGAGTTGGAAACAACCCAAGTGCCCATCAACAAACAAATGGATAGAGAAGCTGTGGTATGTTCACACAATGCAGCACTGAAAAACAAGGAACTCATGAAATATTGTACATAATGGGTGACCCTGGAGGACATTATGCTGAATGAAATATCTCAGTCACAAAAAAGACAAATACCGCATAATGTCACTGTTATAAAACAGGACTGACATGGGGGATAAATAATGTACACGGCATTGAAACAGATGAAGGAGAGAACTGTATAAAAGGAATCTATGATTGGGTACTATTGACATGACAAGAGTCCAAAATAAGAGCTGCACAGTAAAGTGGACTGAGGGGGTACTGTTTAACAATGAAAGAAATTTTTTTCCAAAGAAAAACAAACTGGGGTGGGGGAGTGGCAGGGAGGAAAATGTGGAACAATGAATAAATGTAAATCCAAGCTCTTTATAAATTTTCATTAACATTTCAATTTTTAAAAAAGGGGGGAAGAATAAGCTAAGTTTAGGTTGTTATTAGTCAAAAACGGCAATCATGCACATATGAAATATGTGACTAAAATACATAACTACAGCCAGGAATACATATCTACCCTTCAGTCTCAAAGAAGTATATATATATTAATGAACAAAGGAAGAAGCACCAAAAAAATCCTCATTCCCTCCTGAAGTCTTCCCTGGTCCCATTAACCTAATGAGAAAAAAGTACAGTTGGTCCTATGAAGACAGTGTTTTGTGAGACTGAAAAAGTACTTCAGTGCAGCGCTGCTAGGGCAGGGAGCCGGCAATATGAAAGGGTCCTTCAGGTCCGTGGACCAAAAGCCCTACAAGCAAAAACTGTGACTTCTAAAACAAATTCAGAGTCATATCTGGCTAATCTGTCTTCTTATGGATAAATTACAGGCAAAGACATCCTAAAGAATAGATAGGTGAAGTTTTACAAAACAAAATAAAAATTTAAGTTATTAATTTGATAAGTATAATGTTCCAATAGGATTAGTTCAAATTAGTATTTTCAAATATTTTATAACTTAAGAATCATGTTCAATTTTAATAGACATATTTAGACAAACAAGTCTCTAGGAGTTTTTTTAAATAAGGCTAGACATTTAGTCCCAAATACTCTTTTTAAAAAAACATTTTCTGTTATATTGGTTTGCATACAAAATTAATATATAATGCATATCACACATTCCTTCATTCATGTTGTGTTTCATGTGATCATTTCCATACATTGTGCTTTATAAAATTTAGAATCATATATTTATGCCCACTATAACCCCATCTTCTCAGATACCCACTAGATCTTTCCTGATTCCTTTAACCCTCCCTACACCCACTCATCTCTGTGACCCTGTGATTTCTCCCTCCCCACCCTCAGCCTCCTCAGCTCCCTCTCCTTCCCACCTTGGACTTTGATACACATCTTATTAGTAATCTAGGAACATTTTTTACCCCATCACTGTTCTAAGTAAAATTGTTTTCATCTACTTACGAAAACTTTTTATCCAAGCTAATCATTAGGCCAATAAAATATGCTGACTGGGCATCATTTCTGTTTACCTAAAACACAGAAATGGACATATAATTAAATATATATTTACATAATTTGCAAAGTATTAAACAGAAGGGAGCTCGGGTGGCCTAGTGGCAAGAAGCTGCACTGCAATCCCAGAGGTGCACGGTTTGAATCCACCAGATGCTCTGCTGGAGAAGGAGGGGCAATCTCCTGTACCAGTCAAATCCAATTTGACAGTACACACACACACACACACACACACACACTAATAAAATAAATTTTTTAAAAAGAAAATTATTAAGCTGAAAAATCTGCATATTAATTTGCCAAAATGGCTGGCTTGAGGGAAGTGTAATCAGATATTCCTTAGAGATAAGGATGGTGAAACGTCAACATACTTTGGGCATCTTGTGAGGAGGAGCCTGTCCACCCTCAACTTTCTGGGTTTCTTGATCTTAATGGGAGGAATCAAAGGCTTAAATTCAGCGCATAATTTGATATTGTGCAGAGGACCGCAATCCTAGACACCATCTTTGCTAATCAGATTCCATTCTTAAATGAAATCATGTTCTTTTTTTTTATTATTATTATTTTTGTGTGCATGTGCCGTCAAATCAGATCTGACTGGTACAGGAGGAGATTGTCCCTCCTTCCCCGGCAGAGCATCTGGTGGATTCGAACCATGCACCTCTGGGATTGTA